CTTTAGACTAGATGTCGGTGAGATACCGTTACTCAAAGATATTAGATGTTTAGTGAAAGACACCAAGAATGTGGCTGAAAGCTCAGATGATCAAAAGCTAAACAGATCTCCTCTCGGCATTGCAATGAATATCGAATTCAAATCTGACCACACATTTAAAAAATAGCGATCATTATGTCACCCTCCAAAAGGCAAATCCATATCCAATATGTTGTATTCATCTTCATGCATGTTTGAACATACAATTATGACCTGTCATAATATTGCACTCCAGGTGAAATATAGGTCCCCCATCGAAACACGCTTATAACACTTGATTGTGAAAAAAAAACAAATGGAAAACGAAGAAAAAGCCTAGTTGGAAGCCCAACACCGAAAAGAGACGGAAAATCTTAGAGAAGAAGTCACAAAGCTTACTAGCCTACTTGAATAGGCCTGAAGATCTAAACCAGAAGAAGCAAAATCTACAACTCAACTTAAACCTATGCTCGGAAATCCACAGAATCTGGGGGCAAATGAGGTGTCTCAATAGGCTATGTATTTTCAATTTGCTCAACCAGTATATCCCATAAGAATGTCATCTATCATTGACCTTACAATAAAGCAATCTCAAAAAAACAAGGTAGTGAAAGAAGATGAACTAAACAAATTCATTGCCTTAGAACAAAGAAGGAGGGCATTTGAGGGAATTCACCTATATTATCCTATAAAGGCTGCTGAGATGTGTTTGGTGCCTAACGTTGTCATTTCTAAAAAGTTTAGAGTGCCAGAATTTATCAAATATACGGGAACTCAATGCTCTATAACTCATCTCAAAGCATACTGCAACAAAATGATTGAAGCAGTTGATGATGAGAAACTGTTGATTCATTTCTTTCAAGACAGCTTGAGTGACATTTCCCTCACTTGGTATATGCGATTGGACAATACCAAGGTTAAAAAATGGAAGGATTTAGTGGATGCCTTTATGAGGCAATATAAGTTCAATATAGACGTGGGCCCTGATCGGTTAAGCTTGCAAGCTATGGAGAAGGACAACAAGGATTCCATAAGGGAATACGCCCGAATATGGAGTGAGGTAGCTGCACAAGTTAATCCTTCCATGTTGGAAAAAGAGATGATCGCTTTATTTTCCAACACCTTTAAAGCTCCGTACTTTGAATACTTGGTTAGAAGCTCTGCGCAACATTTCTCTGACCTGGTTGTTATAGCTGAGGGAATTGAACAAGCCATTGGATTAGGTAAAATTGCTTATCCAACTGAAAAAGAACGGTTTCACTGAAAAAGAAAAAGACATTAAAGGGGGTTGCCGAGGCACTTACTGTTCTTACATATGGCCTCAACTAATTGTTGAAAAGATGCCCTTGTCGAGAAGAATAAATGATTGAAAGATTCTAAAAATTCCAATCAATGATCGCTAAATGTTTAGCCCCTTTATATGTTATCATGCTAGTGTTCATAGCCCAAGATGTTGACATAAGTTCTTTGTTGTTAAACTTCTTTTCCAAAGTTTCAATGAAATAATGAGTTTGTCATTCAATCATGTTTATGACTAAGCATTATTCATTTTCTTGAGAGAGTTTTCTTGTAAAGACTCACAAACACATTTTTGAAGCCTTGCACAATCTCATAGATTCAATTCATTATTCTTACCAAAATCAATTTCCCTATTAGAGTTTTGAAAAATTGATCTAGCATTTTGATTTCGAAAAGTAATTTGATGTTTATTCAAAAATGATATTTTTGACATTCTGCTTGTAGAATGACAAGTGAATGAAGCAACTCCATCATTGAGGTGACTAAATTATAAACAAAAAAAAAAAGAATAAACACCTTTACCCCATTACTCTTGAATCATGTGTTTTTTAAAAATGTATGAATAATGGTATATAGTGAACTTGTTGCTCATAACTCATGAAATGCATCTTTGCAAAGAATAAACCATCATACCATACGAGGTCAAAGTTTATTGATCATAGCTACTTGCGCTTGAAATGAGGAAAGGCCATCTTTGTTATTTCCTTTCACGTTCTAAATAAATACATCCCTTGCAAACCCTTTTTGAGCCTGAACAATTTTTTCTTTCATAGAAAAAAATCCCGACTAGGATCACATCCCATACTGGGGGCAAGTGAAATTTCAATTATCAAGAAAGATGATAAAGCTGTGAGAAAGCCAAAAGTCAAAAAAGCTCAAGAAACTCAAATGCTAGGGGGCATGCCCAAATCACAAGAAAAAGTGATAACCAAGATAAAGTGAGTATGCTCTATAAGCAAAGCAATGAAAAAAAAGAAGCAACAAATCAAAGAAGAGCGGCAAAAGAAAATATGAATGACATCAATAGTCAAACTGTTAATAGTGATTCTCAGTCTTTGAAGCCCTGAAACACTCTTTGAGCCTTATGAATCCTTTTCTTTCATAGCCAAAAACCACAGCCTACGTTACGTGCCTATAGAAGTCCTTTCTAATCAAGCAAGCAAGCAACCTAGAACAATAAACAATGCTCTCAAAATGAAAAGAATACTTTTTCATAAGATTCATGACATCAAGAATAAACTATTCATTATTATTCATGCTGATAAAAATAAATGTGCAAAAAGAGACAAATTCTTCTCATACAAAACCTCGAGCTTTTTCTCGAGCCCTCCACTCTGAAAACTTATAAAAGCAAAAGGTCATAATATCATGACATATTTTCACCGAAGACCGCATTGCCAAACACAAGAACAAATAATCTCTTTTCCAAGAAAGAAAAATAACCAAGGAGTTGCAAGATTTCAAAAGCAAATTGTTTTAGACTCACATCGAAATAATTTTTTGTTTTCAAAATGCAAGATCAAGATTTCAAGATTCATTCTAGACCCATATTCCTTCACCAAACAGAAAAAAGGATAGATATGAGAGAATGACATCTTAGAACCATTATTTGTCCAAATCACTAAGAGAGCACACTTAGAGGCAATAACCAATACAAGGGGGCAACATTGTGTTTAAAAGGAAAAATTCTAGAAAAGGAGATGGTAATTTCCTTTAACCAGACAAGGGGGCATTTTGGTTTACAAAAGACAGCTTGATCCTTTCAACAAGTGACACCGAATGTTTCTAGCAGTGAAACGAGGAGTAATGAGTGATCCTCTTAAATTATTTGATGAATCAGAAAATCTTTAGCAGACAAGTGGGTCACGATGGGCACCACAAATGCTGAGTTATACAATTAAATTTGGAAATAGATTTATATGAGCCGACTCAAGTGGGCTAGAAAGCTAAACGACAAAGATGACTCAAATCAGATAACAAGATCTCACCAACCTAGCAACAAGAAGATTAAGAAGAAATGGGGGCCTATATTTCAAATCAGGTAAAGATGCATGCATATCATTTAAACTTTGAGACCTTGGACAATGAGTTTTGTAAATTTTTATTAGAGAAAATTCTAACGAAATCCATGAAATGGAAGGCCAACTTGAAATGGCAAGCATTGAAATTACTTTTGAAAAATTTTCACTTTTGAGAATTTTTCAACCTGGGCAGGCCGCCCATGAGAATTAGGCCACTGGAAAAATCTCTCTATTTTTCCACTACCTTTCATTTTCCACTCCTGAGGTAGTGCATTTCCTATCCTACCTCCATTTGAGCGTGCCTTCGAGCCCTCGACCATCAAAGGTAGTGCATTTCCTATCCTACCTCCATTCGAGCGTGCCTTCGAGCCCTTGTCTTATTTCTTTTCGAAAGCGTCTTTGAGCCCTCGACCATCAAAGGTAGTGCATTTCCTATCCTACCTCCATTCGAGCGTGCCTTCAAGCCCTTGTCTTATTTCTTTTCGAAAGCGTCTTCGAGCCCTCGACCATCAAAGGTAGTGCATTTCCTATCCTACCTCCATTCGAGTGTGCCTTCGAGCCCTCGACCATCAAAGATAGTGCATTTCCTATCCTACCTTATTTCAAGTGCGCCTTCGAGCCCTCATTTCCTCCAAGCTTCCATCTATTGAACAATGCGCCTTCGAACCCTATAATGTCTTATAAAAAATCCTTGTATTTTTCAACTGGGTCGGTAACCCATTATAATATACCATCTGGGCAGGTGACCCATTACAATGTGACCATCTGGGTCGGTAACCCATTACAATATACCATTTGGGCAGGTGACCCATTACAATGTGACCATCTGGGTCGGTAACCCATTACAATATACCATTTGGGCAGGTGACCCATTACAATGTGACCATCTGGGTCGGTAACCCATTACAATATACCATCTGGGTAGGTAACCCATTACAATATACCATCCTATCTGGGTCGGTAACCCATTACAATATACCATCTGGGCAGGTGACCCATTACAATGTGACCATCTGGGTAGGTAACCCCTTATAATATACCATCTGGGCCGGTGACCCATTACAATGTTACCATCTGGGTAGGTAGCCCATTACAATATAGCATCCTATCTGGGTCGGGAACCCATTATAATATACCACCTGGGCAGGTGACCCATTTCAATGTGACCATCTGGGGCGGTAACCCATTATAATATCCCATCTGGGCAGGTGTCCCATTACAATGTGACCATCCGGGTAGGTAACCCATTACAATATACCATCTGGGCAGGTGACCCATTACAATGTGACCATCTGGGTAGGTAACCCATTACAATGTGACCATCTGGGTAGGTAACCCATTATAATATACCATCTGGGCAGGTGACCCATTACAATGTGACCATCTGGGTAGGTAACCTATTACAATATACCATCTGGGCAGGTGACCCATTACAATGTGACCATCTAGGTAGGTAACCCATTATAATATACCAA